TCATTTATTCATATTCGTTATATTCCTAACTATCTAGAGGAAGTGAAAGGAACATAATCAAGAAAAATCGTGTTGAGGTATGAAAAACAAGGAATAATAATAAATGGTTCTATCGTTTCTTATCATTTAAAAGGCTAATTCATTTTTCTATTCCCAAAGAAATAATTTCAAGAAAAATCAAATATGTAATACGTATTTATGTATACCAAGTTGATTAATTATTTATACACGTTAGTATTATTAATGGTTTTGAACAATAAGTGTATGCATTGAATTGGATTGATTAATAAATAATGTTGATTACGTGGTGTTACATTTGCAATAAATAAATATATTATAACACGTATTATATAATATATTTAGTTAAGTTAATAAGTAATCAAACATTTTACAAATATGATTACAAAATTCGAATAAATTGATATCCCTCAAACAAATGAAAAAGTTATTTTTAATAATGTATTGACTTAAAGAATAAATGAAAACGCGTTTTATTTATAGAGTGACTTTTGCAAACACAGTCGATACTAAATGAGTTAATAATTTGTATCAAGTCTGCTGCCAGGATTTTTTTACGCTTTACTACTTTACCACATCGATTCAAAAATAGAAACAAAAATGATTTGAAAATATTGAATAATATTTCGTGACGCCATACTAGAATGATGAGATATATAAATAAAATGATTCCAAATGAATAATGATAAGATCAATATTTAACGATAAAAAAAGTATACATATATATATACTATACTATTTTAAATCGAACCTTCTTCTTCGAGCTACTTCTCCTTTTTTTTTTCTCTCTCTTCTTTTTTTATATAATTAACAATAGATGTAAATAAAGTACATAGGAAAGAATATCGATTGATCTACTTTCGTTTACTCGAGAGAAGAAAAACGTTAACTATATAACAACAGAGGAAGAGAGGAGAGATTCTACGACAGGTATATTATTAGTTTGAAAAAAAAAAAAAAGAAAAAAGGTTAATGGAAAAATGAGATAAAAAATAAACAGAACAGGGGCGAGGGGAGGAACAACACATAACTTAACAGGAACTTAAATACCTTTCCTAATAACTCTGATCGATAGTACCTTATCTTTTTTTTACTTTTGAAGAAAAAAAAGAAGAAGAATTAAGTGAAAAATACAGCCAGTTAGTTTCCCGATCGAGTTCGAATGGCTCGTAATGACCTCGCATTACGTGATACGTCCCCCGAAGTGAGACGGGTTTACGTAAGTGTGAATAAGACGAGCCGCATTCTAAAGTTGATCTATTTATGGACGCGCACCGTGTTCTCCACCGAAAAAGCCCAGCCTCTTCTAACAACACACAACCATATACTCTTTCTTTCTTTCTTACTTACTGGCCCACGCGCGTATTCTTTTTATTCTTATTTTTCTTACATAGAACACAAAAACAGTGGTGCTCAAACACTATCGTACATTATTATACAATATTTTTTTGTTTGTTTTCTTTCATCAATATATCCCGTGTAATATTACTATGATATTACGTTTAAAATGATATTAATGAATTAATGAGAAATAATAAAGTATATTGAAATATATATATATATATATTGTTGTTATAAAATAAATATATATAATAATTAGAAATATAATTTGGGCACCACTGTTATAGAGGACGAGGAACACGCGCACGCTTATCTGGCCCGCGAACGAACGAACGGACCTAATTTTATATTCGGAACAAAAACTTTGCTTGATACTGCCAAGTGGAGCTGCTTACACACACTAACACGATATCGACCTTTCGACGGCCTTCGTTCTTCTTTTCTATATCCCCCAACGTGTACATATATACATTTATATGCACGTATACATATATATATACATTTTTATATGCGACGATGAAAAACAATATTACAATTTCTTATTCGAGAAAATAATAATTTTAATTTTAATTGATTTATCCCTGGTGGTTGTAATTTATATCGATTGTATTTAAAGAAATATATAAATGAATATTTTTTCTCTAATTTATACCTAACACCTATTACTATTCAACCATTTTAAAATTCAATTATAGTGCTAAAAAGTATGACGCGTTTTTAAAAACACATTAAAATGATATTATTTTTCGTTTAATTTGTGTATAAATGTAATATAAATTTTATCTCTATTACTTTTTCTTTTTGTTTTATTAATATAAAATATCTGTATATTTAATTAAAACATCATTCATTTAACTTTCAAGAAATGATAATGTGTGTGTGTGTGTGAAATCTGTTTTGAAATGTTGAATATATTATGAAACAAATATTTCAATTCGTTGATTTATCAAAATTTCTTAATTGAATTTTCGTTATTCCCAGTCGTCATCTTTTCATTGATATCGATTATCTACAATTTTTCTTTCATAATTATCTCGAAGAATCTAAAACAATTAATGATTAAAAAAAGAAAGAAAATGTTCGTAAGTTTTCGAGATGCACTTAAAAAAAAAAAAGAAAAAAGAAACGTTACGTTCGAGAACGGGAAAGAAAACACATTTAAACATTTTTATGTTATTTCTACCGGTCGTATAAAAAATCTTGTTATTATTATTATTTCTTTTTTTAATCCATACACAAAATCATGTTGTACAAATAATACGAAACTCCCGACGGTTTCGTCAGTGAGGAAGAGAAGAAACGTCGTTGTCGTTGTCGTTGATGTTGTCGTCATAGTTTTTAACGATGGAAAATTATTCTCGACAACGAGTAGTAGTCAGTTGTCTCCCGTTCTACTCGTCGAGTTCTCTATTATCGAACACGGTTCACGCGGAAAGTAGTCTTTTCTATAAATGGTAAAAGAGAACGTAAGTAAGTAAGTAAGTAACTTACAAACTTAAGTTCTCGTATTACAAAGAGAAGAATTATTGGCTCGTCCACTGAAAGATCTCTATTTATCTCTATCCTAACATTTTTTTCTCTCTCTTACTCTCTCTGTGTGTGTGTGTCTACTGATTAAAAGCAATTTTGAATTTGGAACCATTGCCAAAATGCATATTTCTCTTATGATTCACACTTTTGCGTGTTTTTACCTAACAGCTGGATCGTGTATAACCAAGTAAAAAGAGACGGAAAATTACATCTCGTGGGCGAGTGTAACGGGGGGGCTAGGCGGGGGGGTAGTGGTGGTCTAACGAAAATACGACTATAATAAATCCATACACGTGGGCAGAGGACAAAGATAGAGACAGAAACGAAGAGAATAGACGATGAGTAGTAAAAACTGGTGGGGGAGGGATGTAAAAACAACATTGAACGATATTTAGCGAAAACATAGTCAATAAAATCTAAGTTTTTTTTTGTCTTTTTCTTTTACTTATTATTATCGCGAATACATTCTCTCATTCTCTCTCTGTCTCTCTTTTTATGTCTGCTGTTCGTCTCTCTGTCCCAATCACGCAACTCGTTCGTTTGTATTCTCGGTAAATATAGTTGCATTTTACGATGCAAATGACGGTGTAGACCTTGGGTTATCTACAATACTGTTCTAAGTTCACGAATTCACATTTATTCGGAAGAAGAAGAAGAAGGAAAAAGAATAATAAAAGAAATAGAAAAAAAAGTAAGACAAGAGTAAAAAAATAAAAATAAAAATAGAAAAATTATACTTCCTCGAACGTTTGGCCTTTCTTTTCGGAAAATAATTTTATCTATCTCTTGCGTACAATAATAAAAGTCTGCTCTTTGAAAAAAAACAAAGATGAAAAAAGAACAAATGCACTTTTCGATATCGATAATCTAATCGATCGATATATTATTATATTCTCATTACCTATAACACTCTATCTCATATTATATATATATATATATATATTTATATTTTTTCTTAAAAAAAAAAAAATAAGGATGTAGTAATAAAAAAAAAGAGAGAGAGAGAGAGAGTAAAGTTCTTAAAACAAAATTTATACGATCGAAGAAAAATGACGAGGGCAAGATACGACGTTTATACGATCGCGACCAACTAAGCAGCGCACATGTGCGCTTAGTATTGCGTCGTACACTCCATACATGGTTCACACACACACACACAAACCCCTCACGTGCGCACATATATCACATATGCGCATATTCGCAAGAGCTCACACACGTACCACACATATACACGGATACTTTACTAACACGCGCGTGATGTATCACGCGCTAGCTAGCCTCGAACGGTCGAACCGTATGTTCTCTCTCTCTCTCTCTCTCTCTCTCTCTCTCATTCTCATTCTCATTCTCTCTTTCTCTCTCTCTGTCTCTCACGTTTATCGTGGAAACGTCTATAAAGTCTCGAAAGTGCGAGCGAGATATCTCGTACTCACATGGTTCTTTCTTTTTTTCTTTTACGTAGCGGTATATTCCGAAACTTATGTTCTCTTCTCTTTCTTCCGTAATAATCCAACACAAACGGACGAGCGACGACGACGACGACGACGACGACGACGACGACGACGATTACGCACACACCTTTCCTCGTGTAGTAATCTTTTTTCAAAAGAAATACGTTTCCTTTTCTTCAAAGTAGAAGAAGAAGGAGATGCCCACTTGGATAAGATAACAATCTTTCATTATTAATATCCACAGAAATAGCAAAATAATATTAGGGTAAAATAGAGAAATTGCATAAGTTTTTCTAGGGGCGTGGGGAAAGAAAAAGGAAAAAAAATTAAATAAAAATAACAGCTTTAACATTCCTATTGTACACTCGCGCACTTGGATCGATTATCCACTTCTTTCTTCCGTCTCTCTCTCTCTCTCTCTCTCTCTCTCTCTCTCTCTCTCTCTCTCTCTCTCTTTCTCTATATCTCTCTATCTCTTTTTCTTACTATCGATCGTAGCGTTACTTGTTACGTAAAAAAAAAAGAAAAAAAAATAAAAAGAAAAAGAAACGCGGACAGAGAGGAGATAGAGATTTTAATTTAAAGAAGCGATTAAAAGTTAAAAAAGAAAAAAACAGGAATATAATGATAAAAAAAGTATAAAAATGAATTTTCTCTTACTTCTTCTTTCGTAATTATTGACACCGCGATAAACACCGAGGGACTTCGAGCGAGCATATATATATATATGCATATATATATATATATTTTAGTTTGGTGCACTTATTAATATGCCATTTTACGATAACACGAAATAGTTTTGAACTCGACGACTACCGCTGCGAGACTGGAACGCGGTGCTCATATCTGCGGGCTCTTACATAGTGGACGGAAAACGATGACGCCGTCGCGGCCCTATGGTGGGGACTAAAAACTCTATGCTTTGGCCAATAGTGGGGGGCGAATACTCGGCAGTGGGCTATTCCTCACTCGCGGCACAGACGTCGTCGTGTTCACTCTGAGTAACATGCTGCTTTTACTGCTGCTGCTGCTGCTGATGCTGATGGTGGTGGGGTGGTAGTGGTTATGGTGCTGTTGGCGGGGGTAGAAAACTAACTGGCAAGGACGCGACGCGTCGGCCGACCGACCGACATATACCATACACCATTTACTTACTACTACTACTACTACTACTACTACTACTTATTCTTTCCACGAGGTGCAGTAGTTGCAATCAAAGAAGAGAAAAAGAGAATGTCAAGGGTTGTGTGTATGTTTCTTTACAAATTTTTCTTTTTCATTTTTATTTTCTTTTTTCTTTTTCGTTTTTTTTTTAACGAGAAATAATACTTTTATTTTCTTATCGTTATGCAACATTTATCTATTTTCTTTTTTTTACGCGATATGTAAAACTACTTTGCTTGGGTTTTCCCATTATTTCTTTCTTTCTTTCTTATTGAAGAAGAGGATAAAGTATGAGAAGTTAAAAATATAACCGAGGATAAATTGTTCTTCTCTCGTGAGCAGTTCGTAAATGAAAAATTTATAATCCGTAGATTATATTTTACTTAAGCGATAATTATAGCGTAATATATTAAGGATATTACGATTCATTGTATAAATTAATTGGGGGATTTTATATTTGTTTTTATATTATATAAGCTTTTTTATAAATCGGAATAATACTTCTTTTGTAATATCGGATTTCAATTGAACATCCCTAGAAAATAAATAATAAACAAAATAATTATGTATCCGTCATACTTCGTGCCTTGTTATATCGATTACGTAAATGCTTACTTGCGTATTATATATATGTATTTAGACATATACGTAACATGTATAGTATGTATGTGAGCGAAAGACCCCTACAATCGCATTACGGCAGGGGTCTTCCGTTCACAAACGGACTATATCTGTATGCATGTATGATACGCTTGAAAATAAGCAGTCGAGCAGGTATTTACTCAAGAAGTCTTATCGAATTGCGATTAAACTGGCGCTATGAAAACGCCATCATCATCAGTGATAATATACAGAAAAGAATAGGGCGTCTCTTTTTTTTTCTTTTCTTTTTTTTTTTTTTAAAACACAGAAAATCTCTTTTATTTCGTTTTGTTTTACGAATGAACGAACGAACGAACGAACGAATGAATGTAGAAATGAATGAATGAACAAACAAAACGAACTACTTTATAATAGCATCGAACGAACTTCGATATCGAGCAAATTCCATCGACATTACAGTGGCCAGCTTATTAAAAAAAACGTTCCCTTGGTGGCCATTTTAAATATCGAATTGTCCATGAGAAAAATCTGTGCGGTGGTGGTAGTGGTCGTCGTTGTGTGTTGTCGTCGTGCAAAACCTGAAGAATTTTCCATTACCGTCATTGGATCGTTTAGCGAAAACTCGTGAAATTTTTTCTCTCTCTCTCTTTTTCTTTTCATTTGATTTTTCCATTGGTTAACTGACACGTAACCTCCCGCTTTAGGATAGAAATTTTTACAAGAAATTTCCATACCCGTTTTGTTCCACGGGAGAAAACGATGAAATTCATTTTTTTTTATTATAATTATCTCATAATAATGATCTGAAATTCTAGGGAAATGAATGAGAACAGACAAAATTGAAGATACACGCGATTTCGTAAGCTTAATCGAACCACCAATGAGAAAACCAACCGAGAATCTACAAAAGAATCAAATTATCTTTCGAGCTTATCGCTCTTGTAACAGAAATGTGTACAAATGCACACACCTGCGTATGCACGCACTACACATACACAGAATATAGATAGAATACGATGTGTTACAAATCATGTACATTATAATGTAATTTTCTATATAGAAATACTTATGTTATAATAGTGCATTAATTATTAAACGTTTTATTATGTCAATTAATTTTAATTAGCAAACATTTTATACTTAATTACTTGATATGTTTCCTAGACGTTTTTATTACATTTGCGTAATTCGAATGCAATGTGTGCAATGCGTGCGTATACGTATGCGTACTACTCTTCAGTTTATAGGATTTCCATTTAAAAGAAAAATCAATTTTCTTTTTTAATATATTTCTTTCTATTTCTCTCTCTCTCTCCTACTTATTTTCAAATATTACGTAATGTACAAGATAAGACTAACAATAAGATCAGATCTGCATCACTGGAAGTTGTTGGTACTGTCGCATTCAATTTAAAAAACTTGCTGAAACCGAAGAGACATCGATGAATGGTAGTAGATTCGAAAGTAAAAATGTGCATAACGCGTATGTGTGTGTGTAAAAAAAAAAATATGCCTACGTAATCTCGTGCGTCAGTATACTATTATAATTTCAAAAAAGTGACAATACGTGCATTCAAACGATGCATTTATAATGCATTTATAATGCAAAACGAATATATAGTATATTAAATATGATCGATCCAAAAAATGTGTTGTTTTAATTTTGAATATTTATTTCGTTGATCAATTTCGATGTCATTATGATAATGTCCTTATCAATTTGATTACATTATCTTTATCTCTTTCTTAAATAAATAAAAAAACTTAATAGTAATATTATGAGAAAGAGTAAAAAGGGGAGAAAAAGAAAATGACGATTATGATAAATGTTTCGTACACGTAATGCAGACATTATATAATGTATAATGTAATGTATGCATTACGTATGCACCCACTTATACATATATGTACTTACATATATATATAATACATATCAGATAAACTAGATCTTTCTATCATATTATCATTCACATATTTTAAATTACTTTATCTTTTTCTATAGTTATGTGAATAAGATTTATCAGTGTGTATGCAGTCTACATATATATATATATATTAAATAATATGGATTAAAATTTTAATCATATAAATTTAAGTCGAAATTCAATTAGAAATAAATATATATATAAACGTTTTTAATGATGATATCGATCTGTAATAAATAAATGTGAAATGATAAGAAGAAAGGCAACAGCAATGTTTCTTCTATCGAAAAGAAATTGGAACTATTATTTTCTAACAATAATTTTACATTTAAACGCAAGACTACGGGGAACTCGAACGAATGTTCGTTGTTCATGGTGGTGGTGACTAGTAGTAGCCGGTTCACTCGATTTCATTCATTTGTCGGATAATCGTCGTGTTCCTGTTTGCTACCGGTGGTCAACGAGGCTGACGCGTGCTTGCATGTGCAACGTGCATGTATCATCGTTCTCTCCTGATAAAGTCTACTACCCATTGCATATACATATATGCTATACGTCACGATATATACACACGTAACTTTGAACATTCTGTTATATTCAAGAACCCAAAAAGTTCCGCGTATGATAACTTTGTTATTTCTTCTATTGGTTAAATTTTTCAATCCCCCTTACCCCCCTTAGCCCCCTCCTACCCTCCCTCTCATCATTCTTTTCCCCCACATCCTTTAAAACTTTTTTAAAGCGTTTTAATATTCCATTTCTTTTTTCTTTCACGTTGTATTCAATTTTTCTCACACACACACACACACACACATATTCATGATATATTTATATTTTATTTGTCGATATAATATATGGAATGTTCGAACGATAAGAAAAAAAGCACTCGTTGTGGAAAAAGAATTTATGAAACGTCATTATCGTTATCGTTTCATTTATTTGCACGAATTCATATTCGTAATATCGTTGAAACATAATAAAATATAACGCGATGGTTTTATTTACAAAATTATATTTCTACGATCAACGATTATAATTCTATTTTACGTAAGAATTTTGATACCTAATGTAAGTGATTTCGACTCGAACACGAAACCACGAGTCTCGATCATGTATTCATGGTGTTGCCTATGGTCATCGAGAAACCTTCGTACGTGTAATAAAGACAGAAAGAGAGAGAGAGATGAGAATTCAACAATCGAACTCGTTCGTGCGTAAAAACCCGTCGTTGTATGTCTGTCAAATCAATTATGCAATTTCGCAATTGCAGGCGCCATAGAATTTAAGTGGAACTTATATTTATATGCATACGGGTGTACCATTAAACGAGGTATCAAACTTTATGAAATTGTTCTTCAAAATAATTCGATATTTTTTTCTCATACGAATAGATAGAAAATTGGATGCGAAGTTAAGAGTACACTTTATACATTTTTTTTCCCCCTTTTCTTTTTTTTAAGTATAATTCCCCATTTTCCTTATGACTTTTTTTTTTCTATCATTAAGTATCCTTTAGTCCTCTTCAATTCTTTCGTAGAGTTCTTACGTAACGATCATGATTTTTTTTGTTTGATTTTATTTTGTTTAAACGTGACGACGCGATCGTACAGATTAGAAACACCGATAATGTTATTACACGTTTGATAAACTTATAGATTAATTATCGAGATTTTTTCCAATACGTAAGTTTCTTCGAAGAAAAAAAAAAAAAAAGAGAAAAAAGAAAGAAAGAAAAAAAAAGACACGGTGAATCATCGGTGTTTAGATAAAAGCTGAAACAGGATTTTCGATCGACGTTGTATTATTGATCGTTGATCGTTGATCAATGACTCGCGACAGGATCATTTATTTTCAATCGGTACGTATATATTAAACGAACGTTTTGATGTTTAATATTAAATAATGTTTTTAACACGTAGGTGTATAGAGATATTTTATTCTAATCGATCGGCACGATATCATCGAATATTTTCAAATATACCGATAAGAACAATAATTCAGTTTTAAGATATTCAGAATAGTACAATTTTGAGACGTTAAATAATAATAACAACGAGAATTGTTTAAACAAAATTTACTATAAATTGTGCGAGCCAACGTCGAATTCTTCGCGAATTATTTACTTATTGAATTATTATACAAATTTAATGTTTCCACAAGATTATAATATACAATGAAAATAAAATGAAGGAGAGAACGTATGTAATAGGAATAAAATATATAAAAAGAAAGAAATAACATTCTCGTATTTAGAGTAGTATACGGAATGAGCTCTTACAAAATTCTTCTCTCGGCAATAATCGATATGTCGTCGATTGACCTTCGAACAATGAATTATTGCACACGACGTACTCGTGCCAGTCCAATGCGTCCAAGGTCTAACGAATAGTAGGCCGCAACGCGCGATACCGTTTTAATAGTAGTTGCTTACACTCCTCCTCTATAGTATCTTTTTCCTTCTATCACTATCTCTATCATTGTATTTTTTTTCTCTCTCTCTTTCTCTTCATCTTTTCTTTTTTTCTATTTTTTTTCCCCTTTTTTTCCAATTTATTTCTATTCTCTACTCTACTTTATACGAGGAACAAAGTCATATAGGTTACTTGTTTTTTTCTTC